ACACACCTGGTACCCTGACATACATGCAGGCAAAACACCCACACACAGAAAATAAATTTAAAATTGTTTTTAAAAGGTAGTGAAGCAGGCACCCAGCTGTAGCAGGCATTTGGGGCTATATGGGGAGGAACAGGCTGTTTCCTGTCATTTTAGCAGTGACCCCCCACTCTTTCATCTTTGATGCAGGGGTGGCATTGCTCTCAATAACAACTCTGTCAAGTTCATTTCCTGGTCTGACAAACGAATTCAGCTACCTCTGCAGGGTGGTGGAGCTTATGGTTCACGTGGCCTCTAAGGAGTAAGGAGCCCTGAACCGCCCACCCGAAAGAAAATGAAAGGAAGTGTGAGGCTCTTGGATGCTGGGGATTCCCTCTCCCAACTCAAGCCCCAACATACATCCCCCAATACTTAGCATCTCCTCTCACAGCTTTCACCCCAGGCCTCCAGAAGAAGGGGAGGCACTTAAGAAGCCCCATTCCCTTGAATAACATAGGTAAAGTTCATTGCACCAGAAAAAAAAAATTAAGATTTTTTTCCATTTGAAGTTTCTAAAACTAACTTTCAAATATTATTTCTCTATTTTTGTTTACTTTTTTTTTAGTTTCTTTGGGGTTTTGGTTATTATTCTATTTGGCTATTATTCTGTTATTCTGGACAGTTTCCTAAAGAACTCCCCTGGGACTTAGCTGTCATCAATAAATTCCACTGATAACTTTGACCTCCAGTAACCTGATCATGAGACTGCTTCATTTCCAAGCTGTGGGTGACTAAGTAGCCATCTGGGAATCAAAGACTGTCCCTCTTATCCTTTCTCTCAACTCGTGATTCCATCCTATTTTAGTGAATCAGCGCTGTCCTTGTGAATCCTACTTCAGATGCCAATGTTTTTCTGGAGTCCCCATGACCATTCTCTTAGAACTCAATGTTCTATCAGGAGAATTTACCTAAGTGGTTATACTAATGGCCACAGATTGTGGCAAAGGAAGGTTGCAGGTAGATTAAAACCAACAATAAGAACATGTACTTTGGCAGGGTACAGGAAACGCTGGATACGAGCTTCCAGTTGTTTGTATGACAATGGAATCAGGTAGCCAGGACTTAATCCTTCCAGCAGTATGTGAGACATCATGTCTCATCAGCACCAAGTGCTGTTAGTAAGAAATAGTCACTGTAGCTTCGGTGTCCAGAATGCTTTGGAGATCAGTTATACAAGTACAGTTGACTGCTCATGTTGGTTGATGTTAGTCCAAACCTTCTAGAGGCCAAGGTAATCCTAGTTTCTTGTCTAAGTCCCCAACAAAAATCATATTGTTGGCATAGACAATTTAATGTGGCCCAAGACTTCCGTGTAAACAGAGACACTTAGATTGAACAGGATATTCCAAGGACTTAGAGACTAGCTCCTTAGAGAGCCCAGCAAGAGCCAACCAGTTTTGAGGTTTAATATATATGTATGCTCATGTGTATGAGGGTTGCCAGAAGGAGGTGTTGGATCCCCTGGAACTGTAGTTGCATACAGTTGTGAGCCACCTGATGTGGGTGCTGGGAACTGCACTCTGGTCCTCTGGAACAGTGGGAAGAGCTCTTAACCACCAAGCTCTACTCCAGCCCAAGACAAATTGTTTTCATGAATGAACATGATACAGATCATCCAGATTTGCTGAGTCCTTCACTACAAGATAGGCTGCCAGATGCTATTGATTCCCCACTGAGGTCCCCTTTACCAACAGTGTGTTGTCATTCATAAATCATAGCTGTCTCATCTCTACAGACAAAAGCCCTCAGCAGATAGGAAAGTTACAGTTCTCCAACTTCTATCTCCCTCTTCCCTTTCCTTCATGAAAGAGGTATCATCAATGACTGATTGATATGATGAGATCAACTCTATAGCACAATCCACTGTTCTCAGAGCTATCTGCAAGGTCAGACTGAGACTGGACTCTAGACAAGACCACATGCTAGGTTAGCCCTTTCCTCTACCCTGCCCTTCTCTTTCCTCATCTCCTATTTTTTTTTCCTTCTAAAAAACAACTCCAAACCCTCAGTAGAACATCTGTATGAGAGCCCATGGTCTGTCTTAGGAGTCTTAATCCAATATTAGATGAAAAACCTGGCACACAGGGATCACTTTATAAATTTTTACTGAATGAAAAATAAACAGGGAAAACTCCAAGTAGAACTCCCCTACAAATTATTCAGAGCACCTTGCACACGCTAAATCTTAAGGAGTATTAGTCTCATACCCTATTCCCAAACCCTTACGTTGTGGCGACTTCCTCTCGGGAGAACTGTCAGGACGTGACTCTCAATCCCATAGATCAGGGATGCAATCTTGCAAGTGGCTGCATCAGAAATGAGCAGACTCACAAAACTGGCAATTGAAAAGCTAAATTCTAATTTTCTCATTTACAAAGACAATTGAGACTTAGACAAAAAACAGGATCCTCTGGTGTCTCTATGTCCCTTTAGACAAATCTATATCGGAAACACGGTTCCCAGGCAAACAGAAGCCAGTGGAAGAGCAACTGGTGAATGATGTGAAGGGCAAATGATACTGGCTCTCCGGTGCCAACTCCATCACCAAACATGCCAAGGTCACTGGGCCTGGGTCTTTGGGGAGGGCTTCCTGGGGGCAGCTTAATGCCCTTTCTATCACTATCACTCAATCTCTTCTTTTTCTGGGGGTTGTATTGTCAGTGTCTCCCTTACCCCAACCCTTTGAGTTTTCCTTCAAAGTACGAGTAGTATTTAAACTTATATGTCACTTCTATTCATCTTCATCACCAAACAGTCCATGTACTTAGTAACTCTGTAACCACTCCCCCTTCATAGATTCAGTGGGAATACGTTTATTCTTATTGGATAATTGTAACCAGTAGTGGCGCCAATCCATTTATTCCATGTTCATTCCTTAATTTCATTCTTAGGTGGCAGCCTTTAACTTCCCATTTGGAGTTTATTCAAGGCACGGTTGTGCATGCAGCATGGTTGTGCATGCCTGCAGTCCCAGCACTCCAGAGGAGGCAGAGAGTTACCAAGAGTTAGGGAGCAGCCTGCAGCATATGGAAATGTCAAGGCCAGCCTGGAACACACAAACAGACCTTGCTCAGAATAACTTGGGGTCACGATGTTGTAGGCCTCTATCTTTTTTTTTTTTTCAATTTCTCTGGGCAGCATCTCATTATATAGTCCAGGCTGGCCTTAAACTCACGGTCTTTCTGCCCCAGCCTTCTGTGCGCTGAAATTAAGGCATATACTACCATACCCAGCTCTCTGTCTCATTTCTGAAACCGTAACATCTCCCCAAACTGCAGTGTTTAAAACATCCAAATGCATCTTCCGGACACCCATAGCCTAACTTGCCTCCTGGAAAAACCTATTCTGCATTTCAGAGTTGCAGGTCTGACTCCTCCACTACCCCTCAGACCTTACCCCACATTCAGGGAAGAGAACTGGATACAGAAAAACTGAATGACTGAATGACATCCCAGACACACAGCCTGAGGAACTTCCAGGAAGAAGTAGCCTCTCCTCCCTTGGGCAGGAGTCCAAGCAGTCATGCTGTTAGCATGCTTTCCTGACAACCCAGAACCCATGGGAAGTCCCCGGGGCAGAGAATTATTAGCCAAGGCAATAACTAAGGGTGAGTCCTACTTCTCAGAAAACATTTATTTGCTAGCTAAGCCCCACCTAGGCTACTAGTGCTTATGAGGCAAGACAAACTGTTGCCCTGTCCTTAACTCAAGGTCCTCCCTTGGCAATAAGTCACAATGCCCCAGGTGTCCAAATCCAGAATGGTTGACCCAAGTGGGAGGATGTGAGGAGGGTTTGGGGAAGACGTGGAGTGGGAGTTGGGGGTGGGGGCATCGACAAAGAGCCGAGTTCCCCATTCTCTGAGCTCACCCTTGCGTGTATACAGGTCCTCCTCCCTCCTGATTCTTAATCTCCTAGCACTAGCTCTTCCTAATACCTCCAAGCCCCAGCTCTGCTTGCCCATGCCCAAAGCCCTTATAGACCCCGTCCTATCCTTCCCAGGGGTGTGGATGCTAGAGAGGGGCTGAGCAGGTGAGTGAGCCATGTGTGTCCCCTGGGATGTCAGCCAGGCCCAGCTCCTGGACAGTCTCCTAGGGCTGGGGGCACTCGGAGTGACCATTGGAACAGTCTTCTCGGCAGCTGGCATAGCGCTGCTGCTCCTGCTGCTGTTCAGCTTCCTCGCTTTTGACCTGCTTCACGGGTAAGTGGCAGCAGCCTGCCGGGTAGGTGTCACAAGCGCAGGGACAAAAGAGCAGTTGCCTTGAGCTGCCGTTGTCTTCTCTCTCCACAGGCCCTCAGGTCCCACGCCGCTACGACATAGACTTCTCCCAATGGGTCAGAGCCAGGGGGCTGGTGAAGGCCCAGGACGGCAGGCAGCTCCCCTCTTCCCAACAGGGATAGTCTCAGGACTGCTCAGTCTCCAGGATGCACTGCTCCTGCTGTTCCTGGGCCTGGGCCTGTTCTTGGGAGGCTCTGGTATACCCTTAGCCCTGCTGGGCCTAGCTTTCTGCCTCCATCCTTGGGACTAAGGGCCCTCCGAAAACTGAATACCTTCTAAAAATACACCAGCCATTCTGCTTCCCCAGGTTTCTTCTCCTCCGTCCCAAGCTACCCGAGGGTAAGGTTGTGGGGTACGGGTAGAATACTCCATTGTGTTCAACTTGAACCGCAAAGGCCTCTAGTTCCACATGGACATTTGAGAACTGGGTCTGAGGCTTAGGGCAACAAGAGAAGGCAGAGAAAACGGTGGATACAGCAGCCAACTCCAGCCCTGCAGGTGGAGGAAGCCATCAAGGAGGAACAGGAGTTGGGAAGGCTTCCCATAAGCAAGGGGGATGGTAACTGTGAGGCTTGCTGACAGCCTGGAGGGTCCATAAGTGAGGGACTCAAGTGAGTCTGACACTATGCACTAGCTCCTCTCTTAGCCAGGCCCCGCCCCAGCCCAGGTCATAATAGACTCCTCTGAGGATGGTGGGGTGAGTGAGGTTGAGACTGGGACCTGGCTGCCAGGCTGGCCTGGGCACAACAGGAAGCATCATGACTTAAGTGGCTCTACCCAAAGGTAAGTCCTAGACCCCAGTTCAAAAGCCCAGTCCTGCCCGTGCAGGTCTCCTCCTGACCCCTGCATCCCCACCTATCCAGAGGTCCTGGGCATCTCCAGGGCCGCTCCTACAGCTGGCCTGGCCCTGTCCACAGGTGCACCAACCGTGATGCAGCAGCCACGAGTGGAGACGGATATCATCGGGGCTGGCGAGGGGCCCCAGCGGGCAGTGCCCTGGTCAGCCTGGGTCACCCGCCAGGAGTGGGTGCGCTGGTGGGCGTGCCACCTGCCCCGGAGCTGGTCCCAGTGGTGGAACACATCAGGCTGGCGGCAACCATTACAGCGCATGCTATGGGGTCTGGAGGGGACGCTCTACCTGCTGCTGGCGCTGATGCTGTGTCATGCACTCTTCACCACTGGCTCCCACCTGCTGAGCTCCCTGTGGCCTGTGGTGGCTGCCATGTGGAGCCACCTGCTGCCAGCTCTCCTGCTGCTGGTTCTCAGTGCCCTGCCTGCTCTGCTCTTCGCTGCCTCCTTCCTACTGCTCTTCTCCACACTGCTGAGCCTCGTGGGCCTCCTTACCTCCATGACTCACCCAGGCTATGCTCAGGACTTGGACCAATAGAAGGGCAACCCCATCTTACTGCCTGTGTCTGCTGAGCCCTGGACTAGGGCCTGAGCCCTGTGGGGGGGGGGAGGGCAGTGGAGCCTCAACAGACCTCAGACCCCCAGTCACAAGTACAGGTGGAGGCCTGGCTTCTGGGCCATCCTACCTTAAACCCATGATGGTGTCGGGGACAGGACAAATGGTGTAACCCAGGACAAGAGGCCAAGCCACCGAGAACACCCACATGGATGTGGTAGCATCACTTGGTCTCCCGGGCAGCATCTTTGTGTCACACCACCTCAGCCCTCCCTGCTTCAGGCTTCCTGAGAGTTTCCACCCACATACCCCTGGACTTGTCACGGATCCTCTCTACTTCCAGGAGGAGCACAGACTCTGGAATGGGCCTTACTGAAAGAAAGATAGAAGGTCCTGGTCCAAAACCCTGGGGACTCACCTCACTCACCTACCAGAAATGGGGTCAATCATCATAGTGAGTTTTGTGTGTGTGTGCGCGCGCGTGCGTGCATGTGTGTGTGTGTGTATGCACACACATATTAGATATTGAATCAAAGGCTTTGTGCATAAGCATATACCCCGCCCCTACATACATATAGAACCTCCAGATCTATTATGAAAGAATAAGTCCCATTTCAGACACCCACACTTGGCCAATTCATTATTTTGAACCTCAGTGTTAAGTGGGTCCCATTTTTATTCACGAAATTTTTATGATCCAAAGTCAGTATCTATCAGCAAAATTCTTTGGCTTTTTTTGTTTTTGTTTTCATCTTGAGACAGGGTCTCATGAAGCCCATGATGGGAACTCACTAACTGAGGATGACTTTGAGTTTCTGATCCTATTGCCTCTATCTACCTCCAGAGTACTGGGATTAAAACTTGTGCCACCATGCCTGGTTTTATGAAAAGTACTTTGTAAGGCCCAAAAGCAGTTAAGGTATTCTGGCTCCAAGATCATTCTACAAGCTCAAAAGTCCTTTTGATCCAGAAGCTGGATGATGGAGCAAGTTTCTCTGGGAGTCCAGAGAAATCCTGTCATAGAATCTCAGCCCTAAAATAGTTAACCCAGAATGGATGGTGTGGATGAAATGTAAAAGCTGGTGTCATACAACCTCAAACTGGCCAGATAGTAAACTATACCGGTTGTGCAATGCCCTGAGGCTGGAGCCTGGTAGCAGGAGATGCTTGCAAAGCTGAGTAGGAAAATAATAGCTCAGGGATTTCCAAAATTGATCAAGCAAGTTGCTGACATCCCAGAAGGTTTTGGAGCATCCATACTTCCTCAGGGTCTGGCCATTTACCTATCTGCTGACCCCTCCAAACAAAACTTTGAGTATCAGTTCCCAAATGAAGTAATAAACATGTTAGATGATTTGCCCACAGCCAGGGCACAGCTACCAGTCTTTACCCACTCCCAACCCCTACCCAGTCCCTGCTGCTTCCCAACTCTTTGTTTTATATCTAACTTTAAAATCTTTGCTTCAGAAGCTCTAGGCCAAAAAAACTCTTCTGCCACCTAAACACTCATGCACCTCAAATCATGGTTCATTTTGTCTGAAACTTGCCACAGTTTTGGAACGCTGTATGTTGTTGGTTAGACGTCTTTAGCTTTGTTGCCTAAACCCCCAACCTAGCCCTTCCTGTTTCTTTGAAGTTCCCCTTGCAATGTGGCCATTGCAAGGGTCAAGGCAAGACATGGAGATGCTGTAGTTTTACGGTTAGCTGAGGATGACCTTGAACTTCTGATCCTCTTGCCCTTACCTCCCAAGGGCTGGGGTTACAGGGATGTGCTACCATGCCTGGTTTATTTGGTACTGATGACCAAACTGAAGGTTTCCTACATCTTAGGTAAGCGCTCTACCAACTGAGCTACATTTCCAGCCCTGACAAGTCTTTCTGAACTTCATTTTCTACATGGGTAAAACAAAGAAAAAGACACTTGCCTTGGGGCATCTAGCTTGCAAGTGCCTGAACTAGCCCCTAATGACACAACATACACACACACACACACACACACGTACGTACGTACGTACACCGTGACTATTTTGTCAGGATCAGATAGCCACTCACCAGTGCCAAGGCCAGGCTGTTTGAGTCCTAGGTCACTCTAGCAGGCTACTAAGGAGAAATCCATGTTAGAGGTGAAGCCAAGGTCTAGTTGATGTCCTAAGTCAAATGTGTCTAGATGTCTACAGGGCTGAGACTTCAGAGTTGTCTGTGGTTGAAACAGAGACTAAGATGCCTAGCCTGGATCTTTTATTAATTTAGCCATGCTTCATTGACCAGGGACGTCACTCCAGAGACCTGGGACCATTCTAATTAAGGGGAGGGGAGGTTTTAACCAAGACCATATGCACAGGATAGCAGGGGACATGATGTAGGTGAGAACAAGAAAGGCCTTTCCCCTCTCCTCCTATCAAGATACATCTTCCACCCTCTTGACCTGCTGGTATGGGGCAGGGTGAAACAGTGAAACTAGAAAGCAGATGGGCAATCCTTATAAATCAGGGGTCCTCGTATCCTAGAAATGCAAATGAATTCTCACAGAGGTCCTCAGAGGGTCTTACTGTTCAAACCATGGTCTCAGGAAGAGCAGTATCGTCATCCCTTAGCTCTTTAGATAAATACTCTGAGGGGGGCTGGAGAGATGGCTGAGCAGTCAAGAACACTTGCTGCTCTTGCAAGAGGATCCTGGTTCAGTCCCCCAAACCCACATGTCAGCTCACAATCATCTGTAACTTCAATTGCAGGGGCTCTGATGCCCCCGTCTCTTCTGAGGGCACCAAGCACTCATGTGGTGCAGATACATGCAAGCACTCATACATGCACATAAAATAAACTTGAAAGTGAAAAGTAGACCCTCAGGGGCTAAGGATGTAGCTTATTTGGCAGTGTCTGCCCAGCAATCAGCCTCGATCCCCAGTACCACAGAAGACTGGATGGTAGTTTTTGACTTGGGAGATGAACTCAGGAGGAACAAAAGTTGAAGGCCACCCTCAGTTACATATCAAGTTTGAGGCCAGGCTGGATTACATGAGATGATGTCTAAAAAGAAAGAAAGAAACACAAACAAAACCCAAAACAGATTTTACAGCTCCATCTTAGACCTGCTGAGCTAGGTCCTGCATTTAAAGACTCCAAGGTGACAAGTGTTTGAGAGGCATGGCACTGGACATGGGGCTGAGGATTTGACTGCACTGTTGATGGGGGCAAGGAGATGGGAAGGGTAAAGCATGGAGAGGAAGGCAGCAGTTAGAAGGGGCAGAAGCTACCAGATCAGTCATGAGATCTTAATATAAAATACAGTTCTCATTGCACACATTTAAATTGTATAGTGGCACAATATTGCTTTTTGCAAGAAACAATGGCATGGATGACTAGGGTCGAGAAGCAGAATGGCATGGATGACTAGGGTCAAGCAGAATGGCATGCATGACTAGCGGCAGGCAAATGGGAGTGGGCAACAGTGTGAGACACCTTGCAGAAAAGAAAAAGTTTCAACATAATTCCTGAAAATCCTTTAATGTATACAAAGCCATCCACTTAGAGTTTAAAAGATCTTAAAATACAACCTAATGGAGAATGGAAACACTCAAGTCAAAGTGTCCTAAGCCTTTCCAGTTGGGCGAAGAGGAAAGAGGTGTCCCAACTGACGTGATGGGTGTATATTTTTGCCTGCCCTTCCTCACCTCATCCACAGTTTTTTTCGATGGGGTTGGAGTAAAGGGGCTGGGATCCACCAATGGTTTTCATAAAAAACAAAACAAAACAAAACAAAACAAAACAAAACAAAACAACAACAACAAAAAAAAAAGGTCAGGTATGGCTTAGTTGATTCGCACCAACACCGTATCTGGATACTGAGAAGCACTATCAGTATACGGTACCAATATGATACTAAGGTGTGTGTGTGTGTGTGTGTGTGTGTGTGTGTGTGTGTGTGTGTGTGTGTCCAATATGACCTTTCTCTCTCTGTCTCATGGTACAGGGAGAAAAGAAGAACAGCCTGGACCTAGAAGGACCTTTAAAAATGATTAAAGGGGAATGCATGTATCTAGGTGCTCATTGATGAGCATGCCTGGCTGAGTGGGACAGGCAGGAAAGGGGTCCCTAGAAGCAGGAAGACAGGCTACTTTCCAGGCTCAGTGTGGTAAGACTAGACTCGAGAGCGTGTACTCAAGGGTGACTGGCCTTTGGCCAAATTGAAGAGCCAGAAAGCCCGGTATCCTGGTCCAGGAGGCGACCTGAGCAGTGACAGAAGAAAGCCCAGAATCAAGGGCCTACCATTGGTATTCACGTTTGGCTGTACCAAATGGCAGGGGCAAGGGGGAGATCGCTAGCGCAGGGGTGTGTCTGTATTGCTTGAGGGACACCTAGTCTAGATGGTGTCCTCTGGAAATCCTGTCTGGCTAAGTGGAGAGGAGCAGTGAGGGCAGCTGACAAGCCTTGAGGTGGACTGATGTGGAGAGGGTGGACAAGGGCCTGACACTCATAAGAAAATTCCAAGCCCAGCCTAGGACATGAAGGCCATTAGCATCCACAAGGAGAAGGAGTGATAACTGTCCTGGAACATAGAGAGTCCAAAATTCCAGCATGGGGAAACTGGTGTTCAATGTAGCAATGCTCCTCCTCACCCAGGCAAAAATCTGTGGTTCTGGCTGTGAAAGGTTGGCCTTGGCTAGGGTCGCCCAGGGGAGTGGGATTCCACAGGCTTGGATGCCAATCTTAGGGTGAGTGGGGTGAAACTTTGGGGACATGGAGAAATAGCAGGTCTACCATCACCAGATGCCAGCTTTATTGCCTCCTTGCCTACTTTCCTAAATCTCCAGCTTGCCTAACCCAGAAAGAGAAAACCAAGGCGTGGAGGGCTCAGCTGACGAAAATCCTGTGAGGGCCAGCTGCCTTTGGTGAGAATCTGGACACAATTAACTGTGTAAAACATCTTTTTCAGCTGAGTCAACATTTCCATTTATATTTTGTAATGAAACCTTTGCTTTCTTTATACTGATAACTCACCTTTCAAGTCTTTTCCATCTTAAAAGTTAAAAAAAAAATTAGGGCCAGAAATGTGGCTCAGTGGTAGAGCCTGGCTGACATGTGTGATGTCCAGGGTTTGGTTCCTGGAACTGCAATAAAATAGTTTAAACAGAGATTCATTAACATCTGTTATTTCTACCATATTTTCTTCTCTGTCTTCAAATGTCAGACCCCCAAATAAAATAGATGTTGGTGTACGCATCGATAGTTCACACTGTATGTCTGCATGCTCAGAGGCCACAGGATAAGCCTCAGGAACACCATCTACATCCTCTGAGACAAGGTCTCTCACAGCCTGAACTCAACAATTAGGCTGAAATTGCCCCAGGGGTCTGCCTGTCTCGTCTTCGCCAGCACTGGATTCAAGTGTGTACCACAATACTTAGAGCATTCTTATGTGAGTTCTGGGAATCAAACTCTGAACCTCGTGCTT